GGGGGGGGGTTGTTCCCAACAAGTCCGTAACCAGAGGTAGGGGTGGCTGTGTTACCGGTCTCCTCACCAATGACCCCCCCACCCCCCTCACCCCAGGTGAGAGGAGAGGCAGAAGGGTGGCAGGTGGATGGAGCGCCCTCCAAAGGCCAAGACGCAGGCAGACATCTACCAGGGGGCAGACACTGTATTACCCCCGCCCCTTTCACAGACCAGGAAGCTGGGACTTGGTGAGGCTCAGTCACCCACTGGTGGAGAGGGGGAGACAGACCCCTGTCATGGCAGACGGGGTGGGAGCCACAGGGTAGCCAACTAGAAGGACCGGGCTTAAATTCGAGCAGGAGGGATTTGGGTGGACCATGAACTTCTCCTGACGTTTGGGGGGCTCCAACGCAGGGGGGAGGCTGGGAGCCGCTGTGCTGTCCACCTTTGCTCAGGTTCAAGAAGGTGACAGACGCCTGCCCCTCATGGGTGGGGGAGGGTTATTTGTTTTAGGCTGGGAGGCTGGCCACCCGACCTACAGTTGGAGACACATCATCCGCCTCAGGCTTTGCAGACCCGCAGGTCAAGGTGGGATGCAACAGGGGGCTGAAGATGCCTTGCCTTCGCTGCCTCCCCCGCAGCATCCCGCTGTGGGCGTGAGCTGGGCTCCAAGAGGTGTGCTGACCCGGCTTTTTGCCCGTGAGCCCTGCCTCCTTTCCTTCCACTTCCTCTACTGGGCACCAGGTAAGGAGCTCCCCACGAGGCTGAGTGGTCTTCTCCCCCACCCCACAAACCCAATTCTTCTGGCCCAACTATGTTTCCTGACCCCACTTCCCTCCCCCCGGCTGGACCTGGATGTGCAGCTCAGGTGGGCGGTGTGAAGAACGGAGGAAAAGCTGTCCCAGTGCATGCAGACGGAAGGAAGGAAGGAACAAGGACCCAACTCATCTGTGTCAGAGCCGGTGGCTGCCCTCTTGGCTCCCCTCCCCTGGAGATGGCCACTCAACGGGTCGGGTGCCCGTGCAGCAGACCCAGATCTGAGCTGGGGCCTGACCCACCCTCTACACGGGCAGACTCACCTCCCCACTGAGGATCTCCTGACATTCCGAGTAGTTCACACGGGCGGCCCAGCTGCCATTGGCCAGGCACTCCCGGTAGCCGTTGTCTGGAAAAAGGAGAGAGAGACAGAGTGATGCGTGGGCTCCTCTCCCAAAGAGCAACCCAGGCATCTGTCTGTCTATTGGGCTGTCCATCTATCCATCCATCTGGGCCAACACAAGGGCCTGCTTGCTGGGGGCTCTGGGGTTGAAGTTGAGGAGAGAAGCCACCTGCCTTTCTGCCCACCGGCCCCATTGGGGGCTCAGTGAAGGCCCCAGTGCCCGCCTGTGGGACCAAGGCTCTGCCCACCCAGGTTGCCATGATCATGTTCACGGGACTGGCCCACGGGCAGGCTTGACCAGCTTACTGTGGCTGTCCCCTTGCAAGGCCTTATATGGCAACAGATTATGTGGTAGGTGCCCTTCTGAGAAACGTTTCACATGGGGTGGGGCTCGCAGAGCAGGTGTTGGGGAAGGTCCTCGTGGTGACGTTGCTCTACAGCAGGATTTATGCTGGAGGGTCATGTGGTGGGCTCCTCCAAGGTGAAGGCCTCTTAGGACAGAAAGTGACAGGTGGCAGGAGTGTGCTGGGGGATGTCACGGGTGGTGGCCCTCACAGGATCCACTACAACCAGCTCCCAGCCTGGCACGTAGCACTTGGAGGAAAAGGCAGGAGGGCAGCCCCGGGAGGTGTGGGGGTCTGTGCAGCCACCACACTGGACTGTGGCCCGGAACCTGTCACCTTCTAAAGAGATGGGGAGCAGCCTTGTGATCTGAGCTGAAGCCTGACAGCAGCGGGACAAGAGTGAGATGATGGGGTGGGCGGTGGGGGGCGGGGGGGAGATGTGCCTGTCTCCCAGAAAGAGGGCGCCATGGTCTGGCCTTCAGGACCACAAGGCTGAGGTCTCTCTAAAGTGCTCCCTCTGGGCTCTGCATGCCAGTGGGGAAATGAAGCTAAATGCATTTTTCAAGCTCTGCCCAGCTTCCCTACCCAGCTGAGCTGAGCCCTTGGGCAGAGTTGGCGAAGGAGCTGCTGATTCTCTCCTAATTGCTAAATGAGGGATAAGCAACCAGAGGGCTGAGGGCGCAGCGACTAGGATTTCAGGAAGGTCTGGAAGGAGGCGAGGAACCAGGGGGAATCCAGTGTGTCTGCCACGGACCGGATGTGCCTGGGACCACAGGCTGCTCTGGGGTGTCTGCAAAGGAAGGGACTTTGGGCAGAGATCGGGTTGGCAGAGGCATGCGGGTGGGGGAGGGGAGACAGGGATGGGGTCTTGCTTTAAGCAAGAGCATGGCTCTTAACCCAGGCCGCCTCGGTTCAAATCCTGGCACCACTCCTTCCTAACTGCGTGACCTTGGGCAAGCCACACAACCTCTCAGCTTCCTTATCTGCAAGAGAGGAGCAAACTTCACAAGGGCGCCTGCCTCGATGGTTGAGCAAGCATTTTTAGGTAACATGTGCCGAGTGCTTGGGGTCTACCCGGCTCGTAGTGTGAGCTATTATTTTCATTATTATTGTCTCGGAACTATTGCTCGTATAACCTTCTGTGAGATTCAGGACATGTCACTGATCCCTATCAGAGTGGGTACTGGCTGGGGTTACAGAGATGCCTCCTTGACTCAAGCTCCCCCTTGACACCCCGCGTGTCGGCGGCGGGGAGGGGGGCAGCCTGGAGCCCTCTCAGGACAGGTTATCCGGAGGGAGCAGGCTTTGGCGGGAAGGGAGGAGGTGATCCTGAAAAGAAACACGCAGCGAGTCGTTGCCAGGGAGGAGGCGACCTCCTTGTCTTTAATTGCTGAGCTGAGCAGTCCTCCCAGAGAGTCTTGGGAAAATGGATTATTTTTGGAAAAGCTTCCCATCCCTTTGAAGATCAGATACAGCAGGAGGAAGGGCATTTCGGAAAAGGTTTGGAAGTCCTGGCAGTGCCTCATCAGCAAATGAATTAATTAGGGCCTAACGATTAGGTACAATTCTGGGTTCCCGGTCACTGCTGATTACACGGGCGTATTCCTCATCTTTCTGGCACTGGGGGAGTCTTCCGGCCCCGCCTCCACGTCCAGGGACCATCGCCCAGCTCCTCTCCTGGGATCAGAGAGGGAAGAGCAAGGGAGCAGAGAGAGCACCTCACTCAAACCTCCCTCCCATCCTGCAGGTGGAGAAACTGAGGCCCAGTTACGGGCGGAGCTGGGGCTAGAACCCAGGACTCCCGGCTTCCACTTGAGGCAGGGCTGGCTAATCAAGCAGCACGTGCCCAGGCACCAACGCCTTTATTGGGGTCACGCCAAGTCACCTTGGAGACAGGAGTGGACGGAGCTCATGGGGAGTGGCAGGACTGTAGCCACAGAGAGCCTGGCCGGCCCCACTCAGGAGTGTGGACTTGACCATGGAGGCAATGGAGAGCCGCAGAAGGCTCGACTCCAAGCAAGGGTGTGACAGGGTTAGATGCTTGGACTGGGGCCATGGCCCCGGCGATGGAGGGAAAGTAGTCTTGGACGTGAAAATCACTTTGGAGGTGAAGTTGAAGGATCTGGCAACTGTGGAGACACAGAAGGGCCTCTCTCTCCCTGGAAGCAGCCTCCCTGTCCCCACCACGCACCAGCCCCAGTGCCGCCTCCTTCCTGGGAGCTCCGGAAGGACTGGGCATTGTGGCATTGTGAGTGGAGCCGTGGCCCTGCCTGGCGCTTTGTGACCTCAGACGGCTGTCAGCCTCTGCCTCAGTTTCCTAATTGTGAAATGGGCCCTACTAAATTTTAGGCTCCGAGCCTCGAGCTCGAGCCCCGAGCTCTCTTCTTAGGTCCTTCTGCCCTTCCCCCTACCCACACTTCTCGCACCCACTCAGTCTTTCTACTCTCAGGGTCCGAGATGTGGTTGCAGACACGTGAAGCTGTGTGGACTGGCTCCCCGCCCTAACTGGAAGCCTCCCCAGGGACTTCCCACCCCTCCTTGGTTGCAGCCACCAACCCTAACCCCTTTATGTAGCTGGTAAAGGAGAGGGGGCAGAAGGAGGAATGTGGGAGTTCTGAGCTGAACAAAGTCTTAGAAGCCATGCTATCCAGCCTTCTCCATCGTCAGACCAGGGGCCAAGGGCCGTAAGAGGGGGAAAATGTGTTAAGGTCACATGGCAAGTCTCCGAGTGAACCACCTGGTGTTTGTGGTCACCCTCGGTGCCCCCGTGGGCCTCTGAGCTCAGGCTCACCAGCCCCAAGAACCCACCCCTAGGGACCCCCACCCTCCCCTCAGATGGGACAGGGCCCCTGGCCCACAGCTGCTGTCCTCCTGATAAGCAGGAGCTGTGAGTCATTGGCAGGGGAGAGCAAATTAGTTCTGAGGGTGACAGGTAGGGTAGCAAGTTGCTGCAAAGCCTGGAGGTGGAGGCTCAGGGCCTCAGGGTAGCGAGGTGTTTACATGGGGATCGAGTATCCAACAGACCCTGGGCAGTTCTCCCCCACTCCCAGCAGACCTGTGGGCTTGCATGCTAGGCCAAACGCCCTGCCTGTGGACCTAAAACTGAGCCCCCTGCAGGGGTTTGGTCTGCAGGGCCCTGGACAGACCTCCTAACCTCTCTGAGCTCAAAGTTGGGGCTATTCTGGAGATTCCTGCCCTACCTCATAGGGTTGTGATAGGCTTATCCCAACTAACCCAGTCTGTCAACTGCAGAAGAAAGTGTCACACAGACGTGCAGGCCAGCTCCAGCTTCACCTCTTACCAGCTGGTGAACTTGGGGAAGTCCCCTAACCTCTCTGAGCCTTGGAGGCCTCGGTATATGATGAAAACTGTATAGTTATATATAGCATCTTCCAGGGATAGTATGGGAATTAGCAATAAAGAGCACAGAGCTGGCCTTTGGTAAATGGTGGTTGTATCCATGAGAGGTATTATGGTATTGCCATTATCGTTATTATCCCCCCTCCCCCCCAACAAGTCCCAAGCTCTTCCCATCCTGTCCCACCTCGGCAGATGGTCCGCCCTCCAGAGGCTTCCTTACTTGTGGTGTTGTAGCGGACACCGTAGAAATAGGCAGGGCAGGGTCGAACCACCAGCTGCCCCGCAGGGCTCCGGGGCCAGCAGGTGCCAATGAGGTCCACGGATGCATTGCATTGCAGTCCTGGGGGGCAGAGACAGCTGGTGAGGCAGAGCAAGATCCCTACTCCGGTGTCCTATCCCACCTGCCCACACTCACCCATCAACTGGGAACAAGATGGGAGCAATGACCCCAGTGTAGAGATGAGCTCACCCTATGCAGGGGAGACATCAGGGAAAGCAATCTGAATTTGATGCTATGACACTAGGGAGCCAGTGTGGGTTCTAGAGTAGAGGAGGAACGGAAACAGTTGAAGGTGGTGTTAAAAGCTGAGGTCTTGGCTGGCATTTAGAAAAAATGCTGGAGATGCTTCAGCTCTGCTGCTCTGTAGCCTGAAGACACTTCTCTTGGCCCCTCATTTGGTATAGATTGGACCTCCGAGACTTCACAGTCTGGAACAGCCCGGAACCTTGATCTAGCCCCCTCACACATGTACGGAACCAAATCACATCTGCTCTGGCTCCGAAGTTGGCCCAGCTTCTCCCTGGCCTGATAACCACACTTACTGAATGCATAGTGTTTGTGCTCTAGACTGTGCGGGGCCCTAAGAGAGGACTGATTGAGAAGGGAACTATGGGGAGAAAATGGAAGAAGACACCACCTCCCGGAGTGGGAAGTAGCCTGGAACACCGGCTTTTGACTGGGCTCCGCCACTAATTTGCTGTGTGACCACAGGCCTGTCGCTTGCTCTCTCTAAGCCTTCGTGTCTTTAGAGTGAAATTAAGAAGTTGGATCTGATCAGAAATTCTTAATCTCAGCCATCAAGACCCTTGAAGGTCTTCTCTACTGGAAGCTTTAAGGGTTTGTAGAGACTCTGAAATTAAATGAAAAAAAAAAAATTGGTGTATACATGCATCTTAATTGGGAAAGGGACCGTGGCCTTCACTAGATTCTCAAAGAGGTCTGTGACTCAAAAACGCATGTCAAAACCCCCTTCCCAATATTTTCCCTTTGTTGAAGAGCTTTTTGGAGAGGAGCGTGCGCGTGTGTGTATGTATGTGCGTCTGTTGGGGCAGAGCTGGGCCACAGTAATGCTTCTGGAATGAGTAGGAAGGCTTTTGGTCTCTAGTGGGTGGAGGCTGGGCCGAGGGTGGTCCTCGCACCCCTCCTGACGCTGTCCCTTCCTTCTCTGCCTTTTGATGCCCTCTTCCACATAAGGTTGGCACACCAGTCCTGTTGAGAGCCAGTGTGCCCATCCTGATGGGAGGGGGTTAATAATTCTGGAGACTGGCACAAGAAGGCACAGGCAAACCAGGGAGAGCCGTGAACCAACGCAAGGGCAGCCTCTTCAGGGCCAGGCGTCGGCAGCTGCCAAGCTCTGGCTGGGCCCACCTGCCATCATCTCCTCCTCAGATTAGCCTGCAACTCAGTCTCTCAGGAAACAGCCTGGGTTAGGGTGGTGTCCTTTAGCACTCCTGAGCGGCACTCGTACCCACTGCTGGTGTTTCTTGCTCATCAAAGCTATTCAGAGGCGTTCCTATGAATCAGGGCTTAGGGACAGAGGCCTTGAGGCCAAGTGGTTTAATTGAAAGAGGAAGAAGTCTGCATCGGGGCTGACTGGACACGAGGAGATGGCGGGCCAGGCCAAGCCTTGGTGTTGTGCCACAGTAGAGCCTCTGTGAGTGGTTGCTGGGGGGGGGGACGGGGAGGGGAGTGAGGAAAGCAGGTTGAGATTTTAATCTCTCCTGGGTCGTGCCTATAGTGCTGAGCCTAGAGGAGGGGGAAGCTGGAGGCAAGTGGCCATGGGGAGGGAGGGATAATATCATGGGCCATGCTCTGCCTTTTCAACATTTATTTATTTTTGGGACAGAGAGAGACAGAACAT